TGGGTTAGGGCCTCCAGGCGGTCCCTGAACTCAAACACGTAAGGTACAATTGGGGTCCCATCTGAACTACTCTCTCCCTCCCAATGCTCTCTAATTAAATCTAACGGCCCTCGCACCCTTCTCCCAAACAGCAATTCGAAAGGGGAAAACCCTGTCGACTCCTGGGGTACCTCTCTATAAGCGAAGAGCAGATGAGGTAGAAATCACTCCCAGTCCTTATGGGCCTCTCCAAACATATGGAGCATCTGCTTCAGGGTACCATTAAACCTCTCGCATAAACCATTGGACTGGGGTTGATATGCTGAATTTACTATCGGCTTAATGCCACATATCTTCCACAGTTGTTGGGTAACCTCGGCGGTGAACTGGGTACTCCTATCAGATATGATCTCCTGGGGAAACCCTACCCTGGAGAATATTTTCATTAAGTCCTCAGCCACAGTTTCGGCATGAATGTTAGAGAGGGCGATGGCCTCGGGGTACCGGGTGGCGTAGTCCACTACGGTCAAAATATATCTCTTACCTGAGAGACTAGGCTTGGGCAAGGGTCCCACTATGTCTATGGCCACTCTACTAAATGGTTCTTCAATAATGGGAAGGGGGCACATTTAGCTTTGTGGCGGTCACCCCTCTTCCCCACTCGCTGGCAAATGTCACAGGAGTTGCAGTAATGTCTCACATCTTTGGAAATCCCTGGCCAGAAAAAGGGGTGGGTCAGCCTGTACCGGGTACGTGTCATTCCCAGATGCCCCGACAAGGGAATATCGTGCGCAATCCTAAGCAGTTCTTGCCTATACTTTTGAGGAACTACTAACTGTTTAGTCGTTACTGTGACTGACCCCCCCCACTACTCTTTCTGCAATACGATACAATAGCCCTTTCTCCCATGTATACCGCTCCCCCTCTAACCCAGCCTGATCTGTGCTTACCCTGTCTCTGTAGACCTGCAGCGTGGGGTCTAACTTCACCTCCGCCTCAAATGTAGTTGGGGTATCCCAGGTCATACGTGTCGTATGGGGGTCATTGTCTCTTACCTGAGCCTCAGAGTGTGTTGGTGGAACCGTGGTGCGAGCCTGCTGCCGGGTGGTCACTGGATGTGCTTCCTGGAGTGGAGCCTGCGGTATAAAAGCAAATGTCATCCGGCCCTAGTCATTTCCTAGCACAACATCTGCAGGTAACTTCTGCATCAGGCCCACTTCTACCATCCCCTCCCCTCACCCCAATTCAAATGTACTTTGGCAGCGGGTAGTCGGAACACTGCTCCCCCTGCCACTCGTACCGCCACGGATCCGCCAGTGTGTGCTGTACCCGGAACCAAATGGGTTGCTACCAAAGTTAGGGTGGCTCCTGAATCCCGGAGCCCCTGCACTTCTTTCCCCTCCAGCGTCACCAGCTGGCGATGATGTTGCCGGTTGTCAGTGGCTTGAACCGACATCACTTCATGTAGTATTCCCAGGGGTTCCCCTGCCTGAGTGCTCAGTATCTCCTGGGTGGCTGGCTCTACTTGGTAATGATGGGCAGCGGCCCTTGGTGCAGGGTTCTGTCGAACTCGGTTCCATGCTTGTCGGCTCCGGTTCTGAGTGCACTCCCGAGACATATGTCCCCACTGCCTGCAGGTATGGCATTGGATGTTCGCCCTACCATTGTATCGTGATGGTGGAGGTTGATTCCCCTGGGTAGGTCTAAAAGGGTTGCGGTGGAAGTCGTAGGCGTGACTGTATTGGGTTGCACAGTTGGTCGAGGGTAACTCCGACTTAAGGGCCCGTGATGTGGGGGTGTAACGCCGTGGGCTCTGTCTCCCTCCATCACTTCCCTCCATCAGTTCGGCGATCAGCACTGCTTTAGGCTTGTTGCTGGCTATCTTTCCCCTGGCTTCCAGCAATTCCTTTAGTGTCTGCCTTTTCAATGCAGTGTAATCCGTCCCCATTCACTTTTCTCATTCGGTTGTCTGCTGTATACAAATTGCCATTCCCTTTTCTCGTTCGGTAGTTTCCCTTTATCCGAACGGCGCTTTTCGGCTGTAAGGTTGGATCCCGTCGCTTGCCACCAATTGTAGCGGAGCGGCAATATTAAATCCCACGATCTCCACTGGTATAGAAGGTAATCCCCAGTCAATGCTGAAAAGTAAGGCAATATCCCAAATCCCCCAGTAACCGGACGAAACACAGTTCTGGGAGTCAACTGAGGTTTTTATTCACAGCATCCAGTATTTATGCAAGTCCCCATGCAAGGGGTTTCCATACTGACATAGCAGGGGTAATACAGTAGGGGACTAAATGGGGAACTTAACATTCAGACCTTTTCTCCCATCAGGCACTGCTGGACGAGAGGGATACTCCCACTGGAATGTACCGTTAAGTGGATTATCCCTCCGTGCAGCAGAACCGGCATTTCACATTAAAATGTATAACTTTTACAATACTTAGGTGATTTAAACAAATGGATGTTCGGTAGATAGCTGGGGTCTCAGCGCACCTTTCGTGAGAATACCACTCAGATCCCAGCTAAAACAACCGAACGCCGCACGAAATACACTTTGCCCATGAGTTCGTCTTAAACACCGATGGGGAACTGTAATAGGGGAATACCGTAGCTCCCGAATGGCCTGGAAGTCCAGCGGGGTTCGCGCCGTCGAGAAGCCGATTTCGGCTCCACACGCTCGACGACCAAACCCCGCTGGTGAGACAAAGGATCCAAGATGGCCGACCGCTGCGTGGTCGGTAGCCGAACGACCTAGGAAAGCCCACACGTCCCTCTGTGTGTGGGCTATTAGGGGGTAGCTCATTCCTGTAAGGTTGCTTTAGTTAACTTAAGATTTCTAAATATGAAATCTGACCGTGATTTATCCAGTCATATATCATGCTATTAGTAAATTTTAATGAATTTAAATTAATTAAATAAAACCAGCATAATTACCAGTTATGTAGATATTCTCATCAGATGAGTAGGTAGTCCCAGAAACTTGATTGGTTGTATGTAGGTGCGTGAGTTATAGTGAAAGGTGGTGTGACGAGAGCAATCTCGCCACATTGCATTGGAGAAGCCTGGTTGCTCGCCTGCTGCCTTTGGACTATGGCCCCCATGTTAAAAGACATCTTTTTCACTGCAGAAAAGACTTATTCGTGCTTTTCTGCCCGGTGTTCGGTAGATTTTCGGATTTACTGAATGAACTCATATAACCTAGATAGGTATGCCATGGAGCCTATTCATGTAATAAAAGACTTTGGCTCCATGGCAATTGAACTGTATGTGTTTGTGGTCTGAGCGCCATTCAGTATTAATGTGCGCTCAGACCTAAGCTATCAGGGCATATGTTGCATGTCTGTATTTTATGTCATAAATGTAACCTTGTGCATTTTATTGTATTTTACTGTCTTTTTGTTTCCATGTGTTCAATGGAGTTTTGCCTCTGTCTTTGGAGATACTTGGATTACTTCTAATTATCTCCAGGATAGAAGACTCTGTGGAACTGGTTTTGGGCAGAAAAGCCATGCTTCCTGTGGTCACAAAGGACTACGATCTATCTTTTGAACCACTGGACCAATTTGTATGATTTTGACGTATGTTTGTATTTGGAGTATGCTGATTTATGTGAATGTGATGCATACTTTTCAAGTTATGAATAATGTGGGAAAATTTTATTTCTCTGCTTGTGCTAAATTACATTACCCATTGTGTAAGGTAATTGAATCACAAGCAGAGGGGAGGAATTTGTGTGGGAGTGTCTGAGTGTATTGTATGTGTTTATTGGTTGTGTTCCAAAACCCTGTGGGTGGTACTAATGTGTAAGAATGTGTACATAAGCACAATAAACCCACAGCTCTGTCTGTTCACTGCTTGACCCTCAACACAGAGCTTTGTCTCATTTTTGGGGGGGATTTATTGTATGCTGTTCCAGTTCGACTGCTAAGGAGTGTAAACCTATTCGTATGGTTTTTTCTATTCGGCTGTTTACAGCATTCGTATGGTTTCCTGTTCGGCGGATTGGTGTTCTGCAGTAGCTGTGCCTGCATCTCTGGAAGGGGACGATCGCCTAAACGGTTTTAACCCCTTGTGTGCTGAAACGGTCCGTTACAGGTGGTGTTGGTTAGAAAGTCAGTAAAATTCTAAGTAATTTAAGAGTTGTGTCCAAGAGAGTTTAAGGGTAGAGTGTTAGTCTCAGAGATTGTTCCTTGAGCCTCTCTCTCTGCATGTCCGACTTGGAATCCCCAAACTTCAATTCATCTCTCTGTCTCCAAACCAACTACCCTCGCTCTTCCCTTTGTCCTAACTTTTAAAGGGCCAGGTTCTCTGTACGTCATTAGTTGATAACCCAATAGGAAGCCGTAGGTGTGTCCAATCTATGGGTCGCAATTTAGGTATTTGATCCATAGAGGGCAGTCTCGTCTAACGAAACCTTCCTATCCAGGAAAGAGTTAACTTTTCCTGATGACGATTTTGACGTCATTTGGCTTATCTAAAATGACTACCATAACTTAGATTTGCTGTCAGTTCAAAGCGTTTGTTTCAGTCTTTGTGGCAACTACTTTGGTCGTAACTTGTAAAATTGACAGTTCTAAACTCAATTTCACCCCTTACTATAATGGTATCTTGTGAAATTTAGAAAGTAAAATTAATTACTTAGTCTTCTCTGTCACTAGTGTCTGTGTTTAGATAATGCATCTATTCCAATAACATTTTAGACAGAGCGTTCCATCCCCCTTGCTTCATTGCTTATCTTGCTTTGTTTATGTAATACATTCCTCAGCTCATGCAAGTGGCTAGTTACTGAAAGTAAGAAGAAACCAAGGAAATTATGTATTTTTGTTATCCTGAAGATAGCAAAATGGAGTCCGCTTTGTTCTGAGTGGCTGTGGCAATGTACACTTTTAATTTCTTTTTAGCACAAAATGTCTGTTGATATAAATATTCTGACATAATCCCCCTTAGTGACCTTTCATGGCAATGAATAATTTAGCCTATGAATAGGCACTATAGAAGTTACCAGCCATATTGTGCACTCACATCATTTCTACTGACGTAGGCCCGTGCGTGGAATTAACATAGTACATTATTTTCATTTGAAAAATGTTTTTGGGAGTTACATATGGTATGGTCAATAAAAAGCAAATCTCCATACATTCTGGATCAATTAAGAGAGGTATAGCGCTCCCTATCTCAAAGGCCAGATTTAATTGCATAGGCTCAATTGTTTCTCCATCCACATTGGCAAGCATCGCATGAACAATATCCTTGGATACAAAATACGGAGGTATGCGTCCCCCTGCCAATTCAATCATTCCAGTTTGCACTTCGGCAAGAAAAGCAAGTGTGTGGAACAATATTGGGTCATGCAGAAATAGAAGTTCACTCTTAAATAAGTCATGACTTTGGTGCAACTCAGTGGATTTGGCAATTAACTCCGAATGCAACTTTGTTGTAACAACTGTGTCTTCCACAATAGTTAACACATCTTGGAGAAGTGTTCTTTGCTGGTTTATCACCTGATGAATATCGTTAATGTGTTGCTTTAGCGCATAGATTTCCATATCCAGCTTTTGGACAGTAATAGAGTTGGCTGCAGACATTCCAGTTGCGACAACTGCACCGACAGTGGCACAAACTAATGCAACAATTATGGCGGTGAGGAACCTTTTGGGTCGGTTGCTCATCGAAATAGTACTGGATACAAATGGTTTCCGGACTTGCTCCAAGATGTTTCACACACGGTCCTGTGCTCTTTGGAGGTGCATCTGGTACCAAGTCTGTAACTCAGGAAGCTGCATCGATGAAATGTTGTATGCCTTCTCGATGGAAATCTTGGGGTCCAAGCTGACGGACACACGTCGGGTCAGGATCCTCTTCTCTGTCAAGATGAACCCTGGTGTCTCTTGAATCAGGATGCCGGAGGATGGTCCCATCTCTGCGATCGGGTCGGTCCGTAGCTCTTGGCATAGGAGCAGTACGATCCAGAAACACGCCACATCCTTCTTGGACATCTTTCGATAGTCACGAATCAGGAACTCGTTTCAGACTTATCTACAGTTATTCACGGTTTGTTAAGCATACAAACTTATAACAGTGTGACACCACTTAGCCTATTACGACTCATCAACATATGTATTCTCTCTAATTCTATTTTTATAACTTCATCCCTCACTACATTTATTACTGACTCTTCAGTAATTCGCCTATAGCAGCTAAACAAGCTAGTAACCTGCTTAGAAAATGTAGTTATTGGATGGCAAGGAAATGGTTAATGACATGAACGTACATGAGATCATGGCACATCACAACATTTCACATCATACGATACCACGTGAATCAAGCATTCATCCAGGTTAGTCGTTGTGACGGAACGCTGGCACTCCGACTGAGTACCTCCGCCAATCGATGCTCCTAGTGCTCGCTGAGGACTCCAAGCACTCCAACCGACACCATCAGCACTGCAGACCCCACTTCCAGCGATGCAACTGAGCCGGGGTCTCTGCTGTTTCCACCCACCCTGGACCCAAGGCCAGGATCCAGCTTCCAGTGGGTGAACCTCTCTTTCCCCAGAGAGCAGGAACAGGAACAAATCAGCACCCTCATAGCACTGTGACAGGCGGATTTGCAATTCACTGGCTGCTGTCCAGGGTCTTGCTAGCTCCAGGTAGGGAGAGGCTAGCGTTGCCCTCAATTATAATCCGTAACTCCACACGTTACCGGTGTCTCCGAGCTGCTGGTCCTTGCACTAGGATGCCATCCCACCGCTTGCCACCAATTGTGACGGAACGCTGGCACTCCGACTGAGTACCTCCGCCAATCGATGCTCCTAGTGCTCGCTGAGGACTCCAAGCACTCCAACCGACACCATCAGCACTGCAGACCCCACTTTCAGCGATGCAACTGCGCCGGGTCTCTGCTGTTTCCACCCACCCTGGACCCAAGGCCAGGATCCAGCTTCCAGTGGGTGAACCTCTCTTTCCCCAGAGAGCAGGAACAGGAACAAATCAAGCTATTGCAAGAGCTTCCTCTGGGAGTAAGTGATTATAGCAATCCCCAGAGTGTAGGTATCCCTTCCCCCAAACATGAGCCAAGGCTTAATGCTGGAACAAGACTGATTTACTGGCACACAGAACTCACAATTTATACAACACAAAACTCCTCCTCTGGGCCAGGCTAGATAATTGAGTTTCTACAATACACAAAGCTCAATTATCTGCTGGCCAGAAACAATACAGTTTCATAAAACACACAGGGACCCCAAAACATGCAATAACCCCATAAAAAGTATATCCTTGGAACCGGGGGATCTGGGTGAACCACATATCCAAAATTCACCCAGATCCGTTCAGTACTTTGGAAAATACAGTTTAATGCAGATTCTGCAGAACATATACAGGCTAAATGAAAAACAATCACTGTATAATGTGTCCCCTGCTGTATAGTCCAAAACCACTGCACGATGTCTCTGTGCACCAAATACTGGCGAGATGGCACCGTGTTGAAAAGTCCAAACAGTGTCTGTGAGTTAAAATGGCTGCTCTCCATTGTTCTCACCATGTGCTTCTGATACAGAAAAATGGTGGCCACCCAGTACCTCCACAGTATGTCCCCAGATGGTTCTTAAAGGGCCAGCAGCAGCACAACACAAATCCATTATGCCCAAATCATGTCTTTAAAGGGCAATACATCCCAGGGGCCATAGTCACAGGGCAAGAGGCAGGCAAGCAGTCCTCTCCAGGCACAAGTGGCGAAGGGCACTTCGTCACAGTCGTTCACCCTTCTACGTCCAAATCCACACCTATAATCCTTAATTGAGATTTAGGATGACAAGCATGCAACTGGTTAATGTGAACCCACTTTTCAATAAAATCACCATCCTTAGGAATTTGTATCCTATACGCTACAGGGGAAATTTTGTCAATAATGACATATGGCCCTTTCCAAGAAGGTAAAAATGTATTTTCCTTAACTTGATTACGCGCAAAGTTATACAGATAGACTTGATCTGTGATCTCATATTCCTTTTTCGTGGTTTTTAAATCGTAATAGGTCTTAACCCCTGTCGCTGCTTTTTCTAGATTATTTTGGGCAAAAGCAAACGCATGCTGTAAATGCTTGCGCAAATCTTCGATATACTGATGCGTAGTGGCAGCATTGATAAAGTTATGATCCGAAGTACGATATAGTAAATGCTGTGGTAAAACCATATTTCTTCCTGTCATCAATTCAAAAGGTGACAATTTGGTAGCAGTGCTAGGTGTAGCTCTAATCGCCATTAAAAATGGGGGAAATGTAATGTCCCAGTCTTTACCAGACTCCTTAACATATTTCTTCAGAATATTAATGATAGACTGGTTATATCGCTCTACCCCCCCGCTAGACGCAGCGCGGTATGCAATATGTAGCTTTCGTTTAACACCTAGAATTTTCCATATCTTAGCCATTACTTCGCTGGTAAAATGGCTACCTCTGTCTGACTCAATTCTTTGAGGCAGAACGAACCTGGAAAAGACATGGTTAATCAACAATGTGGCGCACACGGTACTCGTGTTCTCTTTACAAGGCAAACACTCTATCCACTTTGTGTACATACATGTAACGGTTAACATGTATTTGTTACCTCTTGAAGATCTTGTTACAGGACCTATAAAGTCAATTTGAATATCAGACCAGGGTAATGACACCCCCTCTTCTGAAGTGGTGCACGATGGGTTGGACCATGGGGTTGATATTGCGGACAAATCAAGCATCCCTGACAGTATGTCTTAACATCCCTTAACATGTGTGGCCAATATGCATAATCACGCAATATCTCATATGTGATCTTATCACCACGAAGCCCAGATGTAGGTGCATCATGTGCGTGTTGGAGCATTAACCCTCTGTATACAGTTGGGACTACCCATTGTTGTATACCATGTTTAGAAGTTCTGACCAGCAATCCATCCATGATACTAAATTGGACTTTATATCTCATCAAGATTCGTAAATCTTCATTATCTTTGCAATCCTCATCTGTGATGGGATTGGCAATAGGGTCTTCTATATGTCTATAGAATATGCCTATGACGGGATCGTTCTTTTGACTGGTAATCAGGTCCTCACTAGGAGCTTCTTGACTCCATTGCACGACGTTTAAGTCGGCATTATCTCTAGCCTGTCGTCTAGTTATGGCTTCAACATGAATTGAACCCATAAGATCATCAATGTTTAGGGTTTCACCATTGATGGCAGCTTGTTTTGCCAGTGAATCGGCTAAGTCATTACCATCCTTGTCAATACCTTCTATTTTAGAATGGCCTTTGGTTTTCTTCCAATATATGGTTAAACCATTTTCCTTAACCAATTCATCGATTTTACAAAACAATTTCCCATGTTTAACATTTTTGTTATTGCTTTTCAGCATTTGGTTACGTTTCCAGCTAGGCAGATATTCGACAAAACTGTTGCGAACATAGTTGGAATCAGTTATGATAACGAATTCTTTGATACCATATTCTATTGCCATTTGAATGGTCTTATATACTGCACAGAGTTCGGCTATCTGACTGCTTTTGGAACCAATATTGTATCCTATAGATACATTGGGATAATCACCTGTCCAGGCGATTCCGATGCCTGCAACTAACTTCCGTTCAGCACCAGCGGCGTGGTGATATGAACAACCATCAATGTATCCCCACGGTAGTGGTCAACAGTATTCCTCGTCATAAACTTTATAAGGGGATAGCAATTGCTCTTCTAGGAAGTCATCTCCGGTGTCATTATCATCCAGAGATGGAGCAGTACAGTCATGTAATTCTGCTAAACCTTGGGCAACTGGGCTTCTCTTATTATGTTTATAACGGACTTCTAACAGCTATCCCTGTAAGGATAGAGTCCATGCAGTAATCCGACTGTTAGAGAGATTACCGTCTCTGATTCTTTCACTCTGCAGATACAGTAGAGGTTGGTGAGCTGTTTCTACAATTATTTTCTCACCTTGGATATAGCTATGAAAATTTTGTAGTGCCCAGACGGTCGATAATAACGCCTTCTCACACGTGTTGAATTTAACTTCAACAGGTGACAAAGTCTTGCTAGCATATGCAATAACTTTGTTTAAACTGTCCTGCTTCTGATACAGAACAGCACTTATGCTTAAATCAGTATATCCTGTCTCCAGATAGAAGGGTTTACCCCCCTCTGGGTATGCTAAATAGGGTGCCTGAGTGAGCTTCCTCCTCAGTTCACTTACCGCTTGGTCCTGAGGCTCCCTCCAGTTCCAGGTAGTTTCCTTTTTAAGCAGGTGTAAGAGTGGTTTCGTTATTTCTACATAGTTATCTATAAACTTACGGGAGTAATTAGTCATACCAAGGAACGATCTTAATTCCCTGATGTTTGAAGGTGTTTTAGCCTTAATTACAGCTTCAACCTTCTTCCTCTGGGGATTTAATCCTTCAGAAGTTACCTCATGTCAGAGGAAATTGACATGGGTGCGACACCATTGCGCCTTTTGTAAAGACAGTTTAATCCCTGCCTCTCTTAACTGAGTGAGAACATGTCTAATCTCTATGATATGCTTATCAAAGGAAGTGCTTTTCAGCAAGACATCGTCGACATATGATAACGTTCCTCTCTCGAGTGCGTCAGGCATAGCTTTATGCATGAACACAGCGAATTCATGACCAGAGTTTATGTAACCGAAGGGCATACGGGTCCAGGTATACTGCTGCTTTCCAAATGTGAAGGCCAATTTGTATTGGTCTTCATCATGGACTGGTACAGTCCAATATCCCTGCGCACAGTCAATGGCAGTGAATATTTTGGATCCCTGCATTTGTACCAAACATTGGTCTATGTATGGCACTGGCCAACCAGACATATAGACGCGTTTATTTAGCTGTCGTAAGTCAGCGCATAAACGCCATTGTCCATTAGGTTTCAGAATCCCCAAGATCGGATTATTATACGAACTGTGCACTGGACGTATAATGCCCCTTTCCTTTAAATTCGAATGATGTCTTGTAGA